TTTTTTTTTTTTTTTAGGAGACACAGTTGAGTGATCTGATACGACATGAGCTCAGGGTTCGGAGGGAACAGTGATGAGAGAGGTGAGGGTGGGGATGGGAGCTGGGTCATCTAAACCCAGGTAAACAGCTCGGACTTTGTCCTGATGGTAGTGAGGAGTCAGGGAAGGGTTTAAGCAGCGTGGGGTGGGGTCAGGTCTGCCCAGGGAGGTGGGTGGTTTCCCAGATGCCAGAATAGGAGGCCCTTTTGAGAAGTGTGGTTTGAGGACAAGTCCCATGGTGGTTGTCCTACTTTGCCCCCACCTGCCCAGCCTGCCTGGATCGAATCCTGCCCGGATCGAATCCTGCCCAGAGGAGCAGGTCCAAGTGGGGACAGGAAGGGTTTTGATTTAGCTTTTGCACCAAGTACAGAGCAGGTCTTCAATCAGGGAGCCTTGGGGGCTGCCCAGTGTCCAGGGCAGATGCCCAGACTGTGCTCAAGACAGTATGCAGTCTGTGTCCAAAGTAGTCACAGCAGGCTGTGTGTGGCCTCCAGGAGCTCCTTCAGTTTCACTTCCACTGTCTGCAAGTCAGGCATTTTCTGTATCACCAAGCCTCTGCCATTGCCATTGTCTCCTCTGCCTGTTGTGTGACATGCTCGCCTCTCTCCTTGTCAACCTCCTCCCCTTCCTCCCTCTCCCCCTCCATCTCTCTTGCTCCCTTCCCATACCAGCATCCTTTGTCATCCCAGCTTTCTTCACCCAAGTCCAGTTGGTCCTTACCACCCCCATTCTCCTCTCTCCCAACCAGACTGCCCGGTTCCTGGGCCTGACCTGGAGATCAATCCCACTCTGGAGTCTCTGTGTCTGAGCATGACAGAACACGCCTTGGGTGGTGAGCATTTCCTCTTTCCCTGACCCAGCTCCCACCTACCCAGCGTCTCTTCCTCTGAACTGAGCAACTCAGAGTCATCCTGAGGGGTCCCCAGGGGAGGCCAGACTCCAGGGAGGGCCTGACCGGGATGACAGGCTACCTGAGTGCCTTTTCTTGGGCCTCCCTCCAGCTCCTGATCTTCCTCCCTTCCTCCCTTTCTTACCACAGATGGGACAGACAAAACCTCCACCATCTGACGGGACCCACAGCCCAGCGCACCCATAGGCTCCCTGGGCGGCGGGCGGGGGCCAACCCCCAACAGGCTTCTCCGCGACAGCGAGAGGGTGGGCTGGCTCAGCTATATATTCTAATATTTTTCTACTCTCTCACCCTTTTAACTTTTGTTTAACATTGGCACATGCCTTGCTCACTCCCAGGCCCGTCGAGGGATCTCTGCTGAGGCCCGGGGAGTTGGGGGCAGCCAGGATAAAGGGGGCAGGGACTGGCCAGACTGCCTGCCTCTCTCCTTTCCTTCTTCATCCCCACCTGGTCCCATCCCACCCCTGCCTCCTCCAGACCGCTGACCACCTGCCTCTCCCCAAGGGAGCAGACTCCCCAGAGACAAACTGACCACTACCTTGTGGAGCCTGCTCAGAAACATTTGATATTTGGGGTGACATGAGCAGGGCAGAGAACCTGCCCTCCAGAATGTTACTGAGAGGAGCTGGGGAGAAGGGAGGGGAGCAAGGAGAGGAAGCCCTCTCTCCTCTCCCTCCTTCCCCTTTACCATTCCCCACATTCTCCAAGGACAGGAGCCACCTTCTTCTCTCACCTCCTTTGGCCCTGTTCACCAGAGGTTCTCTATGATTAATTTCTTAGGCCTATTTAAGATACATATTTATATAGTTCTTAACGGTTTTTCTCTGATCATTTCCTCTCATTTTTAGAATCCCCAGGCCTCTCTCTGAGCCAAGACAGTGGCAGGGGGAGCCTGAACTTTATGAGGGGAGAGGGCAGAGCCCCCTCCTCCAGACCCCCAAACTCTAACCCATTTTCCTCCAGCCCTGGCTCCCCAGATGAAGAGGTTGGAGGTGGGCAGCCAGGGTGGCCAGTGAGGTCAGGAAGTCTGTTGCCTTAACGTCCTCTTCCCTATGAACACACACCCTTCTCCGCTCCCAGGTCTGGTTGGTGATACTTGGGAGTCAGGAATAAGGGAAAGGGGATTGTTTGGTTTTTGGGTTTTTCCCTAAGCCCCTCCCTTTTCTTTTAGCCTTTCCCCTTCCCCCATTATGTCATGACCTCACTTAAGTGGAACACTATATCATAACCCAGAGATTTGTCCCAGTCCCAGAGTCTGACAGACTGTCTGGTCCCTATTCCTAATGAGGGGTTGTGTTGGGGCCCAGGTGGAGGGAGGGGATTCAGGGGTTCAGACTGCGGGGAAGCCAGGGTCTCCCTCTTCAACGCCCTCCTCCCCCTCAGCCCACCCTCCCCACTGGGACATTCTCAAGCTTTTCACACCGAAAAGGAAAAAAAATGTTATTTTTAGATACATTTTATGAATAACTTTTGTTATGAATATGGCTGGTAACCATTGTGTATGTTATTAAAGATACAAAATGTTGGGAAAAAAACAAAAAACCAAAAAAAAAAAATTTTAAAACCACCACCCTCCCTGCACTATCACCCCATTCCCCAGACCTTCTTGCCCCCACCCTCCTGGTCTGTGGACCTCCCTCTGCTCTGAGCCCAGGGAGGGGGAAGAAGCCAGGGGGTAAGGGTGGCCCTGGGAACCTGGCTCTGGGTCCCCACTTCCTCTCCCAGTGCCGGGCTGGGTGGGGTGTCAGGTTTATTTATGTACCTCTTGCACACTCATCAACCTATGCAAGTCCCCCACCCCGGCCCTCCATGTTTCTGTGCCTTTGCTCATCCCCTCAATCTCCCAGGGCTTCTCCAGTCCCCCTCCCACTAGCTGCAGGAAGTGGGATGGACGGGCCACCTCGTTTGGAATCAGCAGGGTGTCCCTCTCATGGGACCCTCCCCTCTCCCCAGCCTGTCCTGTCTAGTTCACTCTCCATCAGGGTGAGCTGACTGTGCCTGGCACTGGGAGATGGTGAGGGACACCGTCTCACACACACAGGGAGGCAAGAGCTGCCCCCCACCCCACCTGACAGCAGAGTGTGCAGGACGCAGGCGGCCCCACTCTGATGGGCAGGACCCTGACCCTCTCCCGCTCCAGCCCCCTCCCCAGGCCCTCCATGATTTCGCCCTCCCCACCCACTTCTGTCCCCAGCCCCACTGGCAGAATCAGCTTTGAGTAACTGTACAGTTTTTCTCGCTGTTGGAGAAGACTTATTTGTTGGAGTTTCACTTGTTTAATGGTCTGGGCTTATTTTGGAAAAAAAAAAAAACAAAAAAATTCTGACCTTCGTTGTGCTACATTTTGTGGGAAGCCATTGGCCCTGCCTCTGGCCTGTGTTTCTAAGCCTCAAGCCAAGATCCTTGAGCACCTCGGGGTGGGGGGAGGTGTGTGCTGGGCTGAATGACATCATAGGGGCTGGGAGGGGAAGTAAAGATAAGTTGACTTTATTAACAGCAAAGGTTTGGGGGTGGGGAACAAACAAGTGAAAGGCTCACAAACAGACCACTAGAAAAGTGCCATCCTGCTCACAATAATGGTGTCTGAACCAGCCCTGAATGCCCTGGGACTCAGTCACTGTCACTATCAGCTTCACTGGAATCAGAAGCTGCAGCTTCACTGCCATCCTCCTGGGCCGAGTGCTCGCTGCCACTGGGGAAGGGACTGGCGCTGCGGCTGCGGCTGTGGCTCCGCTGACCACCCCCATTGCTGCCGCTGTCCGACTCATTGTCACTGCCACCTTGGGCTGGTCCTCTGTCCTCATCATCAGAGTCAGCATCATCCTCTGAATCAGCATCACTGCCAAAGATCTCCTCTTTGTCACGGGCAGCCCGGGCCTCATCCTCGCTGCTCTCGTCCTCACCACTGCCACTCTTGTCACTGGCCTCGTCCCTGTCAACTTCCTCCCGTTCACTCTCGCTGCCCGAACGCTCATCTTCACTGCCCTCCTTCTCACTGCTGCTGCCTTTCTCCTGCTCCTCATCTGGAAGGGAGTGGAGAGAGGTGAGACCCACTTTTCCACCTTCGCAGAGCTCCCAGAGTCTGGCCTGTCCAGATTTACCTGAGCCCCCAGCTTCTTTCTCTTCTGTCTCCATCTCCTCTTCCTCTTCCTCCTCTGGTTCGTGGTTTTCTAGCTGGGCCTTCCGTGCCTCCTGGAAGCAGCAAGATTGGAATGAGGGGAAGGAGGGTGTTCTGTTGGGTTTTTGTCCTCCTCCTCACCTGCAACCACCACCCTCCCTGCCGTGGGTACTCTGGGCCAGTGGTGCTTGTTACCTGAGCTTCCAGTTCCTTCTCATTCATGTCCCGATGTTTGACCACAAGCAGGGCGTTGGTGCCTGACTGAACCCCAGCCTTGGCCCGGCGCTTACTAAGGCGGACCCTACAGGGGGCAAATTTGGAGGAGAGAAGTAGAAGATGCAGTTAAAGACACACCTCCCACTCCCCCGCCCCCAGTGAGGGGTCTGGTCTGACTTGGTTCCCCATCAATACTTAGAGTAAATGGGAATAAATACAGATTGAATAAGGGCAACTAAGCTCAAGGTATTGAGGGCAGGGGAAAGGAAAGATGGCTCCCATGGCACCAATTTGGTTGCCCTACACTGTGTGCGTTATATGGTGTATTTACATAAATATGAGCATGGGCCACTTAACAGGGAAACATTCTGAGAAATACATCATGTGAACATCATACAGTGCACTTACACAAATGTACACAGTATAGCCTACTACATACCTAGGCTGTAATGGTGTAGCTTATTGCTCCTAGGCTACAAAGCTGTACAGCATGGGACTGTACTGAATACTGCAGGCAATTGTAACACAATAGTAAGTATTTGTATATCTAAACATAGAAAAAGTACAGTCAAGACACGGTATTCTATCTTAAGGGACCATCATAAGCAGTCCATTGTTGACTGAAATACATGCAGTGCATTACTGTATACGTGAATTAATTACCAACACTTTGAGAAACCAGGAGAATCATCTGAATTTGGGGCTTTTGGAAGATAGGAATTTTTGGCTCCACGGCATAGCAACAGTGGGTTGAAGTGACGTCGTGCCCTCCATGGTTGCCCAGAACTCCAGGTCACTCAGATGCTACCACGCCACTGCTCTTTTACATTTCCTGCCTGGCCTATGGGGTCAGTTCTTGTAATCTCTGCTTTAAACAAACTTAAGACTTCCCAACTCTACACCAGAGGTGCTGGCATAGCAGTAAACTTTCAGCCATCAGGGAAGAGTTTTGGGGTCACATTTTTGAATGTGGGTATTAAGCATTTCATTTAAAACATTCATGCTGGCCGGCCGGGTGCGGTGGCTCACGCCTGTAATTCCAACACTTTGGGAGGCCGAGGTGGGTGGATCACAGGATCAGGAGTTCAAGACCAGCCTGGCCAAGATGATGAAACCCCGTCTCTACTAAAAATACAAAAATTAGCCGGGTGCAGCGGCTCATGCCTGTAATCCCAGCACTTTGGGAGCCTGAGGCAGGTGGATCACCTGAGGTCTGAAGTTTGAGACCAGCCTGACCAACATGGAGAAACCCCGTCTCTACTAAAAATACAGAATTAGCCGGGTGTGGTGGCGATGCCTGTAATCCCATCTACTCCGGAGGCTGAGGCAGGAGAATGGTTTGAACCTAGGAGGCAGAGGTTGCTGTGAGCAGAGATCGCGCCATTGCACTCTGGGCAACAAAAGCGAAACTCCGTCTGAAAAAAAAAAACAAAGCCGGGCGTGGCGGCGGGCGCCTGTAATCCCAGCTACTCGGGAGGCTGAGGCAGGAGAATGGCGTGAACCCGGGAGGCAGAGCTTGCAGTGAGCGGAGATCCCGCCACTGCACTCCAGCCTGGGCAACAGAGCGAGACTCCGTCTCAAAAAAAAAAAAAAAAGCTGGGTGTGGTGGCAGGCACCTGTAATCCTAGCTACTCAGGTACTCAGGAGACTGAGGCAGGGGAATCTCTTGAACACGGGAGGCAGAGGTTGCAGTGAGCCAAGATGGCACCACTGCACTGTAGCCTAGGCGACAGAGCAAGACGCTGTCTCAAAAAAAAAAAAAAATCATACTAATTTTATATATTACTCCATACTTTGGCAATGTTTACTTTCACATGAAGTCTGTTACTAATACTGGGAAACTTGGCCCTCTACCCTGCACAAAAGCTCTAAATGTCTTCTGCATTAAGATTTTCTTTCTGGCTGGGCGCGGTAGCTCACACCTGTAATCCCAGCACTTTGGGAGGCCGAGGCAGGCAGATCACCTGAGGTCAGGAGTTCAAGATCAGCCTGGCCAACATGGTGAAACTCCATCTCTACTAAAAATGCAAAAAAAAATTAGCTGGCCATCCTGGCACACGCTTGTGATCCCAGCTACTCAGGAGGCTGAGGCAGGAGAATCACTTGAACCCAGGAGGCGGAGGTTGCAGTGAGCTGAGATCACACCACTGCACTCTGGCCTGGGCAACAGAGTGACACTCCATCTCAAAAAAAAAAAAAAGATTTTCTTTTCTGGCTTCTCCTATTAGAACCAAGTCCAGCTCATGTGCATGATCAAACATCTGCTGTTCTTGTTTACCAATGCGTATGACAAATTATTAGGTACAAAGGACCTCCAGCGTGGCTCTTGCATGCCCCAGGGTCTTAAGAAGCACAGATCCAGGCTAATCAGATAGGAGTGTGCTGAGTACCTGGTTTCCAACTCATTGTAGTAAACCCCGTCACCCTCTCGGAAGATGAAGAAGTAGTTTTCCTCATAGCCCTTGCTAGCTTTGTTCTTCACGTTCCAGTTGTACTCCCGAGCAATTTTGTAGTCATACCTGAGGATGAGGGCACAGGTTCAGTCCCATTTCCTCCCTATCCCTATCCCAATCCCAATCTCCAAAACTTTCCATTCCCCAAAACTTAACCCCAACCCACGCACACATCATCTGGTGCATAGTCCATCTCCTCCTCCTGGTCCCGCTTTCGTTTCTTCAGCGTCTCTTCTACAGGCAGGAAATAGGCCACAAACTGGTTCCCTTCCTCATCCATCATGCCCCTGGTTGGGGGAAAAGGAGTGGCAATGAAGTGTGAGGCCAAAAGGCAGCAAGGAGCAGGCCAAGGTGGGCAGCAGGACCAACTACCTAATCATGGCCTGAGACATCATCTCCAACGCAGCTGCGCCACTTGTGTCCTTGGGGGCTGGGTCTGAGTCAAAGATCACCTGAGCACATGGATTGATCCACATCTAGGGAGATGGAGGCACTGGGGTTAGATGGGAACAGGCACAAATAGGCTGTCCCTTTCTACCTCCCACCTTGGGCCTGACCTTAAAGTCTGGGAAGACAGGCATGACCTCCACCGGTGTGACTCGGGGTTTGCTGTAGTGCTGGGAGATCTGGTGGGACAAAAACAGGGTGAGGAGGAGCTCTGCAGCCATACCCTTACCTCTCCCCATCCCAGTCCCTCAATTACTGATTTCTGGGCATCCTCAAAAGTCTTCTCAATGGCTGTGATCTGGCTATCCCTGTCTTTGTATATTTCTTCCTCGGTAAACTGCTGCTTCACAGAAACCCCAATCCTAGGAATGAAGAAAAAGGCCTTTAGGGGCCACTGGACACATCTGGCATCTCCACCTTCCCTCTCTTCCTGTTTGCAACTTACTTGACCTCAGGCTTCTCATTGGAGATGCCGTAACGGTTAAACTCAGTGGAGATGTACTCTGTCTTTCGCATCCATGGCACCACCTTCGCGTGCTGCTGGGATCTGGGGTAGGAAATCAGGTGCCTCAGAACCCCACCGCCCTCCTGCTTGTAGGGCCCACCGGAGCCAGTCCCCAGCACCCATTTGCTACCTGCTCACCTCTTGGAGCTGGTGGGGGCCTGAATCTCCTCTTCCAAAAGTTTCTCATCAGCTGGATCTAGAAGAACTAGAGGAGAGCGGGGCGGGGGGACGGGGGAAGGAGGACCATGAAGGAGGCCCAGGTCCTTTGCTGCCCTAGAGCAGACCCTCCCTGTCTCCCCACACACCATTGGGGTCGATGCGGTAGGTGTCAGGATTGATGAGATCGATGGTGACCCCCAGGTCTGGCTCAGTCAGGAGGTCATGTTTGTGCTGTTTCTCCAAGGAAGTGGCTTTGTACTGGACGAACCTGGGTGGGGAAACACCTCTTGTGGTGTCTGGATTCCAGCTTCACCCCTCACAGCCCTGCTTCTCAGAGGCGAAGCTTCTTTGGGGAGGAACTCAGAATGAAGTGTCCCCCATGGCGGAGTCTGAAAGCTGGCTCCCCAGTGGGAAGGGGCTTGG